GTCTGTATAAGGTTTAACAAGAAGATTCGCACTGCTTAAGAACACAGTTCAAATCTTTTTGTTAAATCTGATGCAGACCTGTTAAAAGTGGTCGAAAATGTTCTTTTATAGGAATTAAAGTGTTGCTGAAAAAAAAATATAAGCTGTTTCTCAAGCTAAATTTTCTGCAGTTTTGAGTTTTAAAAGTTGATTTTTTAAGATGAGTCAGTCTAGGCATTCATTTGATTCTTCTTCTTCTCAAATAAGTACATGCAGTTGTAGATTTAGGAAAACCTGGCTCAAATGAATGAATTCAAAACTTTGTTAACTTGTGATGATGCTGATGATTGTTTGGCTCATTGCATCGTTTGCCAAACCTCACTTAGTGTTAAATATGATGGATTTATGAGGTGTGCCGATTGTGAGATGCATTAAAAAAGAAAATCATTTGCTCATTACTTTAGTCATTGTGTTATCCAACAAAAAAGTTTTCAAAGATGGCAACCTTAGATGACATGGTGGGATAAGTTTTTTTTAGTAAAAAGGAATTAGCTGTAATTTGTTTGGGGGTAGCATTGCAATATCAACTTTATCTGCAACAAGAATACAAATTTTCTACTACACAATAAAAGAAAATTACATATAAATGGAGAATTTTCAGGTTTCTTTCAAAAGATTGATTCTGGATTTTCCAATCAATTTCCATTCTTAGTTCAATGTTTATTAATTAATGAATGTATGTGTTTGTAATGTAAATTGTTAATTTTTCTAAACTAAAATAAACTTTGGAAAGTATTCAAAAGAATTGGAATCAAAATTGGGAGAAATTTTGATATTGTCCCATCGATAGTTAACCACTTGGAAAATGTTAGTTTTTTGGCAAAATGTGCCAAAAAAGTTGTCGCTAAATCTAAATTCTTATAGCATTTTAGCAAAAAACTAGTGACAGCTTAAACCTTGCTTTATAATTGTAGAAATGTTAAATATTCTCAGAAATGAACATTGTGTTTGAATATAAAGATATGTTAACGATGGAATTTAATCAATTGGAACTTTTGTCACTTCTTATATTCTTTCTTAAAATACAAAAATATTTTTCATTACAAAAGAATTTCTGCATATACAGTAAACTCTCTAATGAATTTCAGGAGACCAAATTTTCTATAGTTCATTATTTGGAGTATTCTTTACTTGGAGAGTCATTTTATCCACATGCCCATATCTGTAGCATTCTGACAATGTCTGTAGAGATGAACTTACTGTTAGTGTCTAAGTACAAGAATGATAATACTGCAGTTAGTAACAACTGAATAACAATATATAGTAATGAAATTTATGATTTACAGTGTTTTTATTCATTCCTGTAATTATACAACCTTAACCTTGCAATTGATGTATGTACGATACAAGTGATGATGAATACAAAAATTTTACCAGATATACAGTATGAGAAAGTTCAGGCATGACTGCAGATGAGGCAAGGGATTGAGCAGGTGATAGGTGGGAAGAAGTTTCATGTACTGTTTCTACAGGCACTGATTCATACATAGATGTAGATGGAAAGACAATGGGAAGTGGGAACAAGTTGGTGAGAAGTACATGATCACAGTGGTATGGCAGAATTTGGAAATAGCATAAATGATATCTTGACCAATATGATGCATCATGCTGTTTACTACTTAGAGGTGTTTTCCAACAATCCCCCCCAAAAAAGAGTTCATTAGAGCTTTTCGTATTATGGAGATTCGTCATTAGAGAGTTTACTGCAATATTTATATATAATATTTATACAAATATATATATTATATATAAACTATATAATTTATATATAATATGTAAATATAGTACTATTCAAAAGTATGGAATAAAGTTACTGTTTTAAAAAGTATTGTAGTTTCTTATTAAAATAATGAAGTTTTGAAAATAATTTGACTTTTTAGACCAAATATAATGTATTAAATGTACAATAAACAGGATTTTGGATTTATCCAAGATCCTGTTTATTGTACATTTAATACATTAAAAGATAAAAAGTACCAAGAATAATGAATGTAGTACTGTCTTAACAAAAAAAAACCTGGCTTATTTTTATGGTTACAGTATGAGTTTGTTAAACAGAAGTAGCATAATAAAATGACAACAATGAATGAGATTTCAGTTTTGTATTAGTTTTAAAGTAGCAATATTAGACTGTCCTCAATACTGTCTCTGGCTTTAAGGATAGCCTAAGGAGCTGGCCAAGTACTGATGATGATTCTTTTTGTCCTATTTTGTTTCAGAATATGTTTTTTTACCTTCTCTAATATAGCCCTGATGTTATCAATAGGATTTAAATTGGTGGTTCTTGGACCAGTCTAAAATATTAATGCTTAATTCATGAAATGTGCCCTTTTTATTCATAAAGCAACAAAATATGACAATAATTCAGCATATCACAGGGGAAAACATGTGATGGTTTCCCTTTTTGCTTATGTGACAAAGTGACAAGAATTGCTAGAACAGCCATTTTTGACCCTCAAAGTTGTTTTTTTTTCCCCAGTCAACACTACCTGATATCATATATCATCTTCGTGTTCAGCAGCATTTGTCATGTCTCTGATAAAGTGCAGTTGTCTATAACCCTTAAATGAGATGTAGCCCTGACTCGTGATACCAGTCAGACTGGTATACACTCTGGTTGATAGGTTTCGCTATAAGTCCTAACAAGAGAGTGCCTGTTGCTGAACGACTGAAAGCATGATTCATCAGAGAACATTCCTTTCACTATTTGTCCACAGTTCATCACTGTACTTCTTTACCTATTCATAATGTTTCTTTTTCACTTTTACTTTTTTAGCTGTTAAAGTAATAGAAGGAAAGTGTTATAATCAGTCAAATTGTGACCCTCCAGGGTTTTTTCATTTCTTGATATTTTAAGGTACCTTGATTCCAAAAATTCTAAGGGGATAACAAAATTGTGTGCATGTTTGTTTACCTGTAGTTTGCTTTTTATCTTGGGATCCATGGACCAGAAATTTTGAAATTTGTCAGGAGTACTTCTATATATGTATAGTATTGATGCTATTACTTTTTGGAGATTATAAGTCAAGGAGGAGAGATAGAGGGGCTAGGGCTCATATCTTGAGTATGGTGTCAGACTTAATGAAAATTTTACTTATTATATTGGTATTTAGAACTTTTAGGGTAGGGGTGAACCCTACTCTAAAAATTCTTTTTTCTAACTTTTAGAAATTATCAATATAACCTGAAAATTATCAGACTTTCTTCCTAATTCCCTTAACCTCTTGTTCAAGTGCTTAGAAAGTGATGAAAGAACTCTCACCAGCTTTTTTTTCAGTTAATAATGGTTTTATTTTTGTTTTGTGGACTTCTAATTCCAGTCTGCAAAATCTTCAGCAAATGGTAACAGTACTTACGAAAACACTTGTCAATACTGTCCATTTGTTTTTTCTTTACTCTGAAGTTGTAAACCTGTATTTTTGGCATTCTTCCTAGAATAGCATCTCTTCTCTTTGGAGACACTCTTGATCTTCTACATTGGGATTTATCATGCATATTGCCTTTTCATTTTAGCTTGTTGAGATTCTTCACAACAGTACATTGAGCAACTAAAGAAATTTTGGTTGTCAAATTACCTTCTCAAATACCTCAATAGTTCTTTTTCTGTTATTTTATATATTTTCAACTTTTAAGTGCACATTAAGCAGCTTAAACATAAATATGACATGTTATGTGCATGATGCAATAGACAGTTGTGCTGATGCAACCAGATTGATGTAACCTTAATGGAATGTTACAGCAATAGCCTATCAATGTTATTGAAAAGATATAACAAAGGTTAAAATACTGCTTCTTTAAGAAATGATTAAACTTACTGAAAACTGTTGGGTTATTCCATACTTTTGAACAATACTGTGTGTCTGTCTGTCTTTGTATATAGCTGTAATATAAATCTATATTTCAAGTAAACAAAATTACTATTATTTATATTAACTATTATTTTTCTTTTTCAAAATTTCAAGAATTTCGGTTTGAATTTTGAGTATGTAGCCTGTCTTCACTTAACATTGTCAATAGGCTCTTGGAAATTGGGATGTTAAACAAAATGGCATATAATAAAATCAGATTTATCATATACTAAAGGATATGGCAAGAACATAACTCTTGTTTATATATTTTTGGTCATATAAACATCACCAAGCTGCTAAATAATCAAAACCCTCTAATATGAAAGACTGAAATGTGAGCTATACTTACCATATTTAAGAAAGATTAATGTAAGCAAATAAGGTTTTACTCAGAACAAAGTAAAACCTTATTTGCTTTCATTGGTACTGAAAGAAAGAAAGTAAGATAATTATTATCAAATTTTGGGAATCAGTTATGATGAGTGGTATTAGGGGCTAAATCCTCATTGCTAGAAATGGCAAAAATGTTTGCAAAGAGAAAATTGTAAGGAACATCTCCTACACCATGCAGTTCAAAACAAACAGTTAGTGATTCCAACAAACTATAAAGGGTGTTGTACAAATTTAAAATGCTGAATGAAAACAGGGCACATTAAATGATGTCTAATGTGTTGTTAATTTAAATTTAGGTTTTTCATTTGAAAAAGGTGAAAGTATACTGAATGCAAAATTTATTAACCAGTTTAATTGATCGTTCCCGTTAGTTTCTGTGGTAACGAGAAAGATCAATTAAAGTATATCATGAATAACCAAAATCCAAGGAACAATAAAGATATATTAACCAGATTTTGAGAAAAGAATTTTGTTATATTATTCTTATTGGATTGTGTTTGAAACCTCTAGCATTTAATTTTTACCTTATAGAATAAATTTTACTGTTTATACAGAAAATTCAACAGCAGTAATTGTAAATGATTATAAATGTACTTTGATTTTTCCTCAACAATGTTATAACTACACAACAATAAGTGAGGACTTGCTGTGTTTATTTATTTATTTATTACTCAGGATAATTTATTACATAGATTTTTAATGCTTTTAATTATTTTTTAGATTGTCTCATTCAAACTCTACACAACATGAAGGTCAGGAACCCCATGCAGAACATGGCATTGAAGAAGGTAATAAAATATGTTAATTAAACATACTCTATTTATCAAGATATATTTCATTATATAAAGTTATGATTAACGAATAAGAATTCCAATTATATTATGTGATCAGTGTAAGATGGCCGATCCGGGGGAGATAGGGGGCTTGAACCCCACTTCCTGGCACCTGTGTAAGGTTGCCGTCTCCTAGGTGGGATCTATTAATCCCGTGTCAGGATGGACCTAAGGGAAGGTTGTATGTGGGCTGTGACGGAGGAGGCAAAAGATGACAAGTGTTTTACACAAGAAAGCCGTTTATTGGTTATCGTTTATGCTTACATCGACAATCGACAGTCCTTCCTTAGTTTCTTCTCTCGACGTTGAGGAGAGGTGATAACTTCGGCGTCGGTCGTAGCCCCGGGGCGGACGAGATGAGGTCACGGATCCAGGCGGACGATCTGGAAGTGAAAGCGGCGGAGTTCACAGTTCTTTGCGACGACACACCACAAGAGAAGTCACTACCTTTCGTGGAGTCGGAGGAGAGCCCCCCTGACCTCGGATTTCGGATTTTTATAGTTTTTCTCTTCCACTATTCGGACTTCCGATTGGCCCTTCATCCCCTTTCTCGCTTCCCGATTGGTCTCTCTTTTGTTTTGGGATAAACTGAGACCGCCTCAGGTCACGAGAAAGGTCCGATTCCAGGTGTCTGCTCGACGCCGTTCTGTCGATTGTTGACAATATTGCAAGACTCGCGCTCATAATTTAGCTCCGTTACTCGCGATTTCTGTCATCTGGGTACTCGAACGATCATATGCAATGATTTATCTCTCTTAAATCTTTCCCTCTTTTCAGAAATTGTTTCCCTAGATTGACTGTTTATGAGAGCTGGGGTCAAAGTTCTACCTGCATATGACCACTTGACTCTGAATTATAACTTTTCACTCTGACTTTGACAGTTCGTTTAACACGTGTTTGAGTCATCCGAGACTCGTTGTCTACATTTTGTGCCGCGTTGTTTAAGTTATGGGATTTTTCTCTCCCTCTCATATTTAATCTATCGTTATTATATAATCATAGGAATATCGCGATTTACATGATTCGGACCTCGGTTGGGTCCTTACATCGGTCAGAAAACTGACCCTATAATATAATTGGAATTTTCTCAAATAGAGAAATTAAACTACCATGCCACCTCTATTAGATCCTACTGTGCTTAAACATTTTTCAAAATGTGGGCTTCTATTAAGATCATTATTTAACATATATTATTTTTCCTGCTTTTAAGATATGTAATTTCACAGTTGACAGAAGTTCTACTTTTCTGTATTTTGGTAGCCCACAATTTCTTTCATCTTTCAACAAGAAGACTGATAAAATTTAAATGATTAGAATTACAACAGAATTCTCTGATGGATCATAATTTTACCATATATGTATTCTGAGTTAATTAAATCCAAATGATATCTTTACATCTGTGTATATTCAGGACACACACTGCAATTATAAAGTTCTTGATTGCTTTTAGTTTTGTTTTGAGATGACATCACTTTCTATTGAAATATATTAATTTATTACATTTTAAATTAATTGCGATATTCTAAATTTGGGCTTAATTTCACAATGTTGCTGAATTTATTAATCAAAATGTTTGTGTGGGATATTAATTTGGTTAAAGAAAATTACAGATGTACATTGGAATTCCATGGCTATGCTGTACTGTTTTGATGAAACAACAAATTTTTCTTTTGATATTTAGTTTTATTAAGTAAACATGTCAAAATTATTGTCATTATAAAAATTGATTGAAATGACTTCATTTTACCAGTTTAAGTTTGGATCTGTTTATCGTTATTTAAAGGTAAAGGGGTACAGAATAATTGAGAATGTTAGAAATATTTTTAAAAACAAGTAAAACGGCAAAACCGTATTTGGGACAAAACTATGTCTCAGAGACGGAATCACTTTGATGCTCAAGGCAGGTCTCATTCTCATTCTCCTAACTTCTTTGATATCGCTGCTTTTGGGCGCAATCATTCAAACTTTGCTGGCCATGACCACGAGATAGTCCATGATGCATCTTTGATGAAATTAACTTATCTAATTTCAAAATTTCTCTCTGTTGAATTTTTGTCGATGTGTAACGAAAAGTTCCCATTTTTTAAAAAAATAATCATGGCTATTGTATCATCCAAAATTGTTTTTTTTATTTTGCACAAACAATATACAGTTTAACCCGATTATAATGTCATCGAATGTAACGACATCCCTAATATAATGTCAAATTTTTATCGGTCCTACAATTTTACTATTCTAGATAATGTTAAAAAAAAAGCATACTTGTAACAACAAAACCGTTTTAACATCATATTTGAAACACTCCCAAATTTACAAAATTAGATTACAAGAAGAAGCTACGTGTTCAGTCCTGATGTCAGAGTTTACTTCTTAGAATGACTGTGGGTGGGTGACCAGAATATGGCCTCAGGTATTTGATTTTCTTCAAGGAAATGTGGCTTCAAAGCCTGGTGAAAACTATGGGAGGTTCTTTTCATGATTTGATGAAAATACACACGTTTGTTAGTCAACAAATAGTTTTTATTTGCAAAAGCAATTTATTGCCTAATATTTAAAACTTACTTAAAATATCAAAAATTCACTTTGGGTCAACTTCCTTANCATGTTTTTTCTATCAGATTTAAATTCACATTTATTAAATCAATTGTACCTTCTATCGTATCAGACCTCTCCATATCATCTAACCTACATTTCTCAACAATTGGCATCTTCCTCTTCACCATATCCTTCAGTTTCTATTTTCTTTTTTAACCTTTAATTTCTTTACTGTCTGTCTTCCTATCAATCACTGACTTTCAAACTTCCAATAATGCATCAGCATCATTTTTTATTTATTATCACCTTGCTTCCTAAGCATAAGAAAAAGTAAATACACATCTGTTTCACTGTTCTCACATTTGTATATATTTCTTCTTCATAAATTATCCTTGTTTCATCCCACAATATTTTTACATTTCTGTCACAAGCCTCTTGCACCAAATTTGTTTTTAAGATATGTTTAATTACATTACTCTTAGCATCATTTATTCTCTTATATTCCTTCTTATAGATCCTACATACAAGTCATCCTCTGTTGTGCCTCTCTCCATCTTTATTAAATATACTTTGGATTGTTGTATGCTCTTAAATGTAGCTTTTTATTTCTCAACATATCAAACATCATGTTGCTATTCTAGAATGCCACCCTCCCTTCTACCTTTTTACAAACCTATTCAACATCTTTTATTCCCTCGGGATACTGACAAAAGGTCATTCCCTTCTCCATGTTCCGCTTTTTTCATCCTCCTCCCCGCTTTTCACGACACATCCGGTAATTTGACACTACACTGCTGCAGGGTGGTGCAAATAAAATTTTCATTATCATTTGATGTGTGCAACAGAAAGAGACTGATGTACGAGTATATTGTCAGTTTGTTGTATGTGCAGTTGGCAAAACAACCAATGGCAATTAATATGATAAACTAGCCTATGAACCAAGTGTGTTTTTATACTATACAATACATACTGTACATACAAAATCCAGTAATTCAACACCCGCCAGTCTGATATATGTCAGATTACAGAGACTCTACTGTATACGAGGATTATTTTCTTCTTTATTCAATATTGGAAAATGATACAAATTTAAAAACTGCCAAATTAATTATTTCCAAATAAAATATTATTGATGATTCTGGTAATTTTGTAAGAAATTAAACAATATCAACACTAATAATAGATATATTAAAATAAAAATAATTTGATACAAAGCTGTGAAAAATCTCTCTGTAGAATATTGAAATAGAGAACTGATTTCAAAACATTTTTTATAAATAATTATTTTTTTAAGAAAAATGGATATTATCTCTCAATTGTGTTATGACTGAAGAGAATAGAATGTTTCTTGTTTGTATTTGGAACTGGTAGTTATGATTTTGTCCATCTTGCTTGCTTATTTGAAATTTTTCATTTGTCTTTTGAATCATTATATGCATGAAACTCATTTTGATTTAAAATATTTTTCTCTGAAGTTTAGTTTTTAACCAAATGATAATGTTAGATTCATTCGGTCATAACTTGGCTAATCAGATATATAGAAACTAGCAGATGAGTTCGGCATTGCTCGGACAAAAAGTAATGATAGCAAAGATTTAGATTATCACCATTTTCACCAAGTGCAAGAATTAGGTCCTCCTCTTCTGAGACTAATTACAGAATTTTTAGATATCTGCTTACCACACCGATATAATGATAAATAAGATTCACTGCAACCATTAATCGGTGTGTAGTACCACTAAGTGATGAATAATAAGCATTTTCGTAACTCTGAGTAGTTCTTCAGGTTTTACTAAATTCAAAAAATAAGCTGGATCTTCCAGAATTATTCATAAATATAAATTTGAACATAAAATCAAACATTAAGATGAAGAGTTCAAATAAAGTGAACTTATGTGCATGTGCTCCCCATGTCATCTTTATATATCATGGAATACTAAATAGCATTCAGAATTTTTAGAAGGGTCTAAAAATATGTTTGATATCCTGCATAAATGCAAAAAAGGCATCTAAAATATTACAGTAGAAGCTAAGTTCTTCAGGGTAATTGTTAACCCTCACCCTCTCATCTCTTCTTAGTGTATGTTCTCATGATCTACTCTGTGTATCAAATTCAACTTTCAATCCCTAACTGTTTGGGCTTGCACTTATTATCATTATCAACCCATCTCGATTATATAAGATAAAGTAATCACATGTTTTTGGTCCAAATTAAGTTGCCATCTTCTATTAAATTTAATAATCAGAATTGAGTTAATTTAGAATATCTGGAAGAAAATTTTCTTACAGAATATTTTAATTTATATTATATAATATAAGTTTATGTAATATGTATATAATTTGTTGTTATATTTTATTTCTGCAACAAAAATACAAAGTTAAACCTTCATCAAGGAATCCACTTTATCTATCCTCTGAAACGTTTTCTTTTCATCGTCAGCAGTACACAGCATACATAACTTCTAGAATAATAATTAGAACAAGATGTCCAATGTTCTATTCCATGTTTTTTCTATCAGATTTAAATTCACATTTATTAAATCAATTGTACCTTCTATCGTATCAGACCTCTCCATATCATCTAACCTACATTTCTCAACAATTGGCATCTTCCTCTTCACCATATCCTTCAGTTTCTATTTTCTTTTTTAACCTTTAATTTCTTTACTGTCTGTCTTCCTATCAATCACTGACTTTCAAACTTCCAATAATGCATCAGCATCATTTTTTATTTATTATCACCTTGCTTCCTAAGCATAAGAAAAAGTAAATACACATCTGTTTCACTGTTCTCACATTTGTATATATTTCTTCTTCATAAATTATCCTTGTTTCATCCCACAATATTTTTACATTTCTGTCACAAGCCTCTTGCACCAAATTTGTTTTTAAGATATGTTTAATTACATTACTCTTAGCATCATTTATTCTCTTATATTCCTTCTTATAGATCCTACATACAAGTCATCCTCTGTTGTGCCTCTCTCCATCTTTATTAAATATACTTTGGATTGTTGTATGCTCTTAAATGTAGCTTTTTATTTCTCAACATATCAAACATCATGTTGCTATTCTAGAATGCCACCCTCCCTTCTACCTTTTTACAAACCTATTCAACATCTTTTATTCCCTCGGGATACTGACAAAAGGTCATTCCCTTCTCCATGTTCCGCTTTTTTCATCCTCCTCCCCGCTTTTCACACCTTTTCTTACTATCCTGTTCAGCTTTACTCCTGACTTATACATTTTATAGTGAATGAGTTGGTTTAAACGAAGAAACACATAGATTAAGATGACAGTTTAGAAGATCAATGATTCTGAATGTGGTGAATGAATATGTTCCAAACAAACTTTGAACTGCTGCTACTTTGTACCTAACTAGTTCTCTAGATTTCCAATATATCAAAGGCTCTTCTATTTCTTTCTTATAAACCTGAGTGCTTATCTTACTTCCTATCAAAATAATAAGATAATATCCAAATAATATATTTCCTTCTCTCCTTTCCTTTCTATCTCCAATTTCAGTACTTTGTAAAAAGAAAAAAGATAAATGGAAACAATATTCTTCTACTTTGTCATTCTTTCAAACAAGTAAATAATTATCAATGTACCTATTTATCTACAAATCATTGTCAAACTTTTTTACCACTTTCTCATCCATCTTCTGCACCATAACTTCTGCAAGAATCCCTGATACCAAGGATCAATTAGCAGTCTGACCTTCTGGAGATGAAATTTCCTTTTAAACATGAAATACAATTGCTTAATTGTAATACTCTATCTGGGCCAGAGTAGTTTCAATGTTGCTTGAATGGTTTCTTCCTGTACCATTGATGGGGATACAAGTTCCTTTAATATAAAACAGTTAATTCTTTTATCTCTGCCTCTTCCAATTTCATCACATCTTTAACAACTTGTTCTCAACTTCTTCCTGATATCTTGCACTCATCATCTTCTAGTACCTTCCATTAGAATCTTTTCACATGTAGGTGCCCATCTCCTTTACAGACATTTGAACAGGCCATCTCACTTTGTGTTTTTCCAAAGTCCAAACAATCTTGGAGCTGTTACTTTATGTTGCATCCTGACCTCCACCCAGCTCATACACCTTTTTGGTCTAGAAATTAAGTTGAGGTAGAGAATGTTGAATTCACAGCTGGTTTGATGAATTTGAATCTGATGGGGAATGGAATGTTCAACATAACTTATTCTGAAGATTGTTTAAAAAGTTTCATATATAGTATACAGCTGATGGAAGAAATACTTCCTGAAAATTAAGGTTTGACTTTCTCTATTTTTATTGTATTTTAATGCTGTGGAGTTGGTTTAGTAGTATTTAAGGTATCATATTTCTGATTTAATTAATCAGAAATATGATACCTTAAATATAACTAAACCAACTCCAACAACTTTCTTAATATTCCAGAATATTCTAACTTAAATTGGATGGAATTTGAAAAAATTGTAGACCTATAAATTCTCACTGTCATCTGTTTGTTTGTCTGTTCTTCCTTGATCTTGAGAATGGTGTTAGATAAATGAAAGGGAAGACCAGATATGGAAAGCTTACAGAAGGCAGGGCAGGAGGTCCAGATTAACTATATACAAACTTCCAGTTTGGAACAGAAGTTACATTATTTCAATTCAAAAATTTTTCCCTAAACAGAATTAGATAGATGATTGGCATGACTCTATTGTTAACAGGAAAAGTATGATGTACAGGGGAAACACTCCTAAACATCAATGCCTGTACTTTAATTAAATAAATTAAATTATGATGATAAATTTCAGTCCCTCATTGTGGTGATGTCACAATAAATAATTGCTCGTTTTTCAGTACACTTTCAGTTATCTCAATTTATAGGTACAGTAGAGCATTGATTGTTCGGATAACTGATCGTGTATGAAAAAATATATTAACCTATCCCATGTTGAAATTTTTCTCCATTGTGTGTTGCTTCGCATTGAATTTTCGTCAATGTTAAGCCTGATGAAAATTTTTTTAAAATAATAATCATGGCTATTGTATCATCCAAAATTGTTTTTTTTATTTTGCACGAACAATATACAGTTTAACCCGATTATAATGTCATCGAATGTAACGACATCCCTAATATAATGTCAAATTTTTATCGGTCCTACAATTTTACTATTCTAGATAATGTTAAAAAAAAAGCATACTTGTAACAACAAAACCGTTTTAACATCATATTTGAANCATTAAAAATTATTTCTTTATTTTACACAAACAAAATAAATATATTGAAAAATATAAAAACAAAAAAATTATATTTTGGAAGTTAATCTAGTATCAAAAACGTTCCAATTCAGCATGACACACAGTCCTTAGAAAAACACCACAAAAAACAAACAAAACTCACCACTCACGATGGGGGGAAAAAGCCTAGTTCAAATACTGGCTTATCCTTAAGTACCCTCTTGTGGTCGCACTGGTGCTGCTAGCTAAAACATGCACACCAACAAAAATAATATTCGAGTAGCCCAAGACATAGCCAAATATTGCAGTGCCACAGCACTAGCGGAAATTTGAATTTGTCAATTGGAACACTGTCGGTTAACTATTGTTTCGGTTGATTGGTATTCAGATAATCGATGCTCTACTGTAATTCTGCAATGAATGAAAAAGCTAGAAAAATTCTTATTCCACTGAAACTAATTGAAATAGAACAGATAGTGTATGGAACTAGGAAAATATTTTATGTCCATTTATACTATACTTTTGACCTTAACTAACTTCAATCATTGTGAACCCAATGCCTTCTGTACCCCATAGTACTACTTGGCATATTTCTGGTTGGGAAACACTAGTCTATAAGATTGGCATGCATTTGCAGCTTGTTCCTTCTCTCTCCTCATAAACCATGTAGACTCTTTCTGGCACTTAGCTTTGTGTATTCTTTACAATTATTATGTAAACATCACTAATACCAGTTCCTGTTTTCAAATACAAATATCTGATTGTGATGTTCCATTCAGCTTATATAAATTATTGTTTTCAAGAAATCATTTGTCAGTTCAGTATGAGGGTAATTTGTCATCTGTCTTTCAATTCACTCTTTGTAACTGATGTGTCTTGATCACTTCCTAACTGTGTTTACATCCTCTGTTATATCCCTGTAGAAGATTTTGACATAGGTGAATCTCTATTGCTAGCATATCATTTCAATTTAATCATGCATTATTTCATCAATTTAATCATGCATTTATTTTAATTTATTTAATCATGCATTATTTCATCAATTTAATCATGCATTATTGCTTCATCTTTCACTTTGAATGACTGGTGTAGCATGTCATTTGGTATACACTACTGAAACTTTGCAGGATTCAAATAATCTTGTGCAATTAAAATTTACATACATTTTACCAAAACTTGAAAAAATTAGAAGGTATTACTTCTTGAATAACTAATATTTTAATTTTATTTGGAAATAAATAAATGAAATTAAATATAAAATTTGCATTTGTTTTCTGATGTATGTTTAAACATTCCAGATACAATAAATATTTTAATAGCTGTTACATTTATAAATAGCCTACAGAAAATTTAAATTGCTTACATTATTTATTATTTAATTTTCTTTCAATTTTTTGAAAATACATTTCAAGTGTTATGAAATATTAAGTTACTTGATAATACTTATTTAAATAAATTGTATACAATAATAATAATTCCTAATTCTATTACAAAATCTATTGAAAAAACGTTTTTATAAGTTATTATTTTAAAAGTAAATGTTTAAATATGCTATTCATTTGAAATAATTTAAGATTCATTATGTTTTGAATTTGATATGAGTTAATTATTTCTCTGTTAATTAAAATAATTAACTTTCTTTGATGAGCTTCTTATATGATACATATTGACTCGGGAAGTTTCAAACACCGTAATTATCTGATATTAATGGTGATATTGGATTAGGTTTCTTTTAATGTTAATCACAATTCTGATGACTTGCAGTATATTTGCAAGATTTCTGCATAACATTAAATTATTTATTACAAATTAGGTTGAAAGTTAAATTATTCTTGGATATAACACACAAATTTCGAATCAGTTTTTTATTATTGTTTTATTTGATATTTTACTATGATATTTCACTTTCTCGTGGATTAACTATATTATGATGACAAAATATCCCTTCAGTAATTAGTTTTTTTTTTATACGAAACAAAATTCTGCTTTGTTGTTTAGTACTATTAGTTTTTGCCTAGAATAATGCATAATTATTTGTATATCATTATTAATAATGCTTTAAATAAAAATAAAATGTGTTAAATTTTATATTTCTGCTCTCAATACTCTGTTTATAAGTAAATTTTCAATTAAATAACTCAAAAGAGAGAAATCAAAGAGAGAATTTTTTTAACAGGTGTCAGTTCAGAATTTGTGAGAATTATGTAAATATTTTTTATTAAAATCTTTAGAATGTTTGTTTTTTTTTAATTAAAAACTTTGAAATTATTATTAATGACAATTTTTATCTATTTTTTCAAACCAATTAAACTTTTTTAATAAATTTATTTGAGTGGAGTATGACAAAAAAAAATCTATTTTTAAGATTACAGAAGAGAAAAAACTGTTTGCATTCATTTTGTTTATTGAATGAAATATTTTAATAATTCATGTAGCAATTTATTGTTTACATTTGAAGTTAATGAACTCCTGGACTAGAACTTATTAACATTTTATGTAGTATAATTTTATTATATCTTATTATATGTAAAAATTAAATTAAAAGTAATTTCAGTTAAAATTCAGAATCAGTTTGAACTTTAACAGAAAGATGCAAATATTTATTGTTGTATAATTTATCATCATTTTATCTTTTCCATATAAGTATTTACTAATAATTATATATTCTTGAAGTAAATAGCGTATACAATAATAATTCATTTTAACTATAAGCTGAAGAAAACTTCCGTGTGCATGCATTTAATGATATTTTTTTCATCAAACCTTTTTAAATTATTTGTTTAATACTTTTAAACTTTAAATTAATTCTAAAGTTAATAAATCAATAAGAGGAAATAGTGTTTTTCAATATCTTCCAAGGTCAATATACAGTATTAATACAGTATAACTTAGATTTTTCAAAATTTAGTAATATAATTAATCTAAAATAGTAATACAGCTATGTAGCTATATATATAAAATTATCAAGTTGCTACTTTATAATTGACCAAAATTCATTTAGTTTAATATTTTTAAGATGTATTAAATATAATTTATAGTTGAATAAAATTATCTTACCATCTTAAACATTTGAAGTAATATTTAAATTTACAGTTGTAAAAGTCCTATCAGCAAATAATTTTCTAAGATCGGTATAAAACTCCTGTGCTAAAAAGCAGCTGTGACCTCTTTTGTTTGCGTATTATGTTTATCATTTTACCAGATGGAGTTTTGGAAGTCAGGTGGCATATCACATAATGCTGTATGCAATGAAATTGAAAAGATAAAATTTAATGATCACATGGAGTTTATTTTCTCATTAAACAATTTTATTCTACATATACTAATACTAGAGGAGAGAGAGAGAGAAAGCTGTAATTAACTTTGTATGCTAGTGATGTGTGTATGTGTATAAGGTTTAGAAGCTATCATCATGATTTTTGGTAAAGATATTTAAATGTTTGGATTACAATCTCAAAAAAAATTCCTGGAATGATTTAATGAATTATGTCTTTCCTAAATTGCTTAATCTACAGTAAGAATTTTTTTTTTAATCATTTAATTTCTAAGAAATGTTGAATAATTTAATTAACTTAATTAGAATAAATATTGACTGTAATATGAAGTTTAATTAGATTATAAAATAATTAATAAAGTTAAGTTAATTTATTACTTATTAATCTAATATATTAAACGAGTTAATTTTTATTATATTATAAATTGCCGTCACAAATAATTCAGGAAAATGTAAAAGATAAAAATTGGAATATATTTAGTCAATGAATTTTTAAACAGAAATTGTATCTAATAATACTATTGATCATTATTTGCTCTATTTTAAGTGTTTTTTTTTATAATTCAATGTTTTATTCACAGAATCAGGAAATTTCCATGGAAAGAAAAAATACTTCTAAAGAAGGTCAGTTTTTTGTTTAATGTTTTGTTTTTATCGTGACTAAATAATCAAATGACTAATTTGTTTTTTCTTCTGTCTAAAATGCTATCAAAGTTGTGCAATATATGAAGTTGTGAATGTAACATTACACATGTGCATGTCCTTTCACACACACGTGCGCATGTGCGTGTGTATGTGTATGTATGAACTTTTTACAGAAAAGTTTTTACAATTATTTATGTTAAATTAAAATGTTAAAATAAACTTTTTAAATTATTTTTCATTGGAGAACAAAAATTCAAACAAAAATATTTCATTATTATTATTATTATTAATGTTATAAAATCTAAAAACACTCCATACCAAGCAATGTTACAAAATTAACAAGATAATTGTGTATTAGCATTACAGAAAAGATTTCTGTAATGCTGATAGATAATTGTCTTGTTAATTTTGTATAAAATGTTTTATCATAAGATGGTCATAACCTAGGGTTCACCCATATTTAAAGTATTCAGTTTTTATTTGAAAATGAAACAAACCATAGATACAACTGTCATATATTTCTACCCCTGCCATGATGTGATTTAGATGTCCCCACCAATACAATGTTTTGTCCATTACAAGTGTTGCTGCCTGTCTGGTATTTGCATCGTGTGTCCAGGTGTTTGGGCTTTAAGAAATTTTGGAAAATCATCAATAATTAATTTTTAATAATATAGCTGATTTTATAACTGATTAACAAACAGTTTGATAATTTAATTAACAAGTCATTTATAATAACATCTCCAGAGTAGTGGTCCAGATACTGATCCTTGAAGACATCCTATATTTAGGGAGCAGGTTTTTTTTAACAAAGCCAATTTAAGCTTAGTTGTTCTGTCTTTTAAGAAATCCTTGAGCAAATAGAAAATATTTTGCGGTGCTGTGGTATCTTTGATAATATATGGTGGCCCTCAATTTTTAAACTTATTAAACGTGCCTCTGANATAAATAAATAATTGTTTCTTACAGCTTAATTATCAGTATTAAAAATTCTAATTAATCCCAATTAATTTTTTTGAATGTGCATGTTTAGATTTGTTTTTTAATGTCTGTAATACTAGAAAATGAATATATATACCAGTTTTATTTGAATATCTATGGCTACTATTTTATATTTTCTCTGCAGTTGCTATTCACAACTATTGTTATTTTCTTCATGCATATCCATTTGACATTCATTATCAATAAAATAATTTCATATTTACTTAGGAAATTTTGATTTCTAAAACTGGTATCTTTCTTTATAATGTGCATTAGCTTCTATATATATCAGTAATAAGAAAATAATAAAAAAATACACCTATTGTATATTGTGCATATGTCATTTTCTAGTAAAGTTCGTTTGTTAAATTAGTATGGTTTCAATATACTATAATTTATGATTATTATTAATTTTACATTGTTTTCAGAAATTCTCAAACAGTAGCCATGTCTATCATTCACGGGTGATTATTATTTGAATAATATATATTAAGAGAATATACTTTTTCCATTACTGATCTTAAAGCTGTTATTTTAAATGTGGGGTAACTTGAATCTTTACCTAATTTTACCTAAGTTTATTATATAGTTTAGAAATTGGATTTATAGAGAAATGAGAAGACAGGTAGCAAGGAAATAATTATTCTTATTAAATCAAAACATTCCAGAAGTTGGAACTGAGATAACTAATAATTACCTAGCACTTTAACATTTCTTTCAGCAGTTATTTTCTTAACAATACTAACATTTTTTGCCTCTTCGGTGGCCCTCCTTGGTTATATGAGCAGAAAAAATTTGAACTTCCAAAAGTTTGATGAAATTTAGAGAAAATAACTGCTGGAAGAAGTGTTAAAGCACTAGTTAATTATTAGTATTCTTATTAAGAAATTCGGACTTTTTGTTTATTAATATATTAAAATTCTTTTAATTCATGCTTAAAACGTATCCATGTAGTACTTTACTGTGTGTTCTTCAAATACTGTCTTAGTGTATAGTATGTTACATATTTCCTTAATAGCAATGATTTTATTACTTGCTCTAATTGATTGTTTTTGCCTACAGTTTAATTTTTTTTCTGGGAAATTAAGCAGATTTTTTTTTCTTTCAGGAGACAGTTTTTGTGAAAAAACATTATTATTTTTTTTAATAATTTTAGTTTTTTTTTTAAAAAAAAAAGAAATTTTTAACAATGAATTTTTGATATCTCAAATTTAATGATAAAAATGGCTTAAGAGATTTCAAAAAATATTAAATATTTATACTTAGTTATATAACTAAATATAATTAAATATAATATATGTAAATTTTATATTACTTTTCATGCACCATTAAATCATTAATCTGAACATATTGAATGTTTTAGAAGTTTTATATAATCAAAATAACATGATTTAAGCCAGACAATCTCTTCACATTTTAGACTATAATTAAGCTAAGTTAATAACTTAGCCTAATTATAGCCCAAAAATTGGCAGATCATCTGGCTTTAATCAAAAATCGGGTTTGTTGAGTTGTTGTTTATATAACATGATTTAATTTTGAAAATAAAAGATATTGTAGCCAAAATAGTATTTTTATAATAAATAAATGTTTGTGTGTGTGTAAGTTTTTCTTGTTTTGATAATTTAATCTTAAATACAACTACTCAAAAACTAGGTAAATCTGATACAAAGCTACAAAAAAATTAAATAACCAGCAGAAAAATTGGGAAGTGCCTCATTTGTAGCTCTTCCCTGCAGCAAGTGGAAATTTATAAGGCCTCCCACAAAAATACTTCTATTAACTTCTGTAATGTAGACTCTTTCCCCACAGTATGGAAGTTGTTCTTTGAACTGTAAACCTACTTTCCTCTCCCTCTTTCTGTCTTATTCAACAGCTGCGGGATTAGTTAGTCTGAGGATGCACGCTCAACACAGGCGAAAGTGTTGTCTCTTATCAATTTTTCTGTTGGTTATTTGGTTTTTTGTAGCTTTGTAATAATCTTAAATGTTTTAAATATTTCTTTATTGTATAAAGTAAATACAAAATCAATTGTTATTCATGATTATAAATTTTACTTACTAAGAATTTTTTTCTCATTTTTCTTTGACTTACCTGGTGATGGGAACGTGGTTTGGTGAGTCTTTTTATTAAAGTTTACAATGAGATACATAACAGCATGTGGATTTATTGACTGTTTTTGCTTTCTTATATAATAATTAGTGTAATGAACTAACCATTTTTAATATATATGAAAAATATACAGCTAAATATTATTACAAATAATACAAATGCTTCTATAAGCCATTAATCATCAGCTTTTAAAATATAATTATTGAGAAAAATGGGGATGCCAATTAAATTGGTATTCTATCTCAGGGATTGACTGTATTTAGTTTAAAGTTATTATTTAAATAGTAATAAGTAAATCTTATATTAAGTTGCTTAAATTTTGCTGGGCTTGCTATTCTATTATTACTAACAATTTTTTTTTCTTAGAAATAATTTTTCTTAAATCTGTTCTCGTTACAGAAATTTATTTTCTGTATTCATTGTCAGACATTGTATAATATATAAATTTCTTTTACTAACTTTAATTTAAAAAAAGTACAGATACTAGTGAAAATTACATTAGTATCTTAATATTGGTATAAATTAAATGTAAGATGTGTCAGTAGTTGTGCTAGATTTAATTGTGAAATAAAATACATCATTTATTGAACATGTGAACTATGGATATTTTTATTTCAGTATAAAGAAACATTACAAACCATTCCAGTGCTAAGTCATTTTTCTGTGCGGAAGACTGCATTCACCAAATGTTTCTCGTGATTGACAGCACACTTGCACTCTTCATACAAAATTACATATGACACTGCCAAGTAATTTCAGCTCAATTTCACCAATAACACATTGAATCTGTCTTAAGGTTAGGAATTGTTTGTGGGTTGTTGAAAACTACCTGACATTTTCAAGGTTGCCAATAATGAACAATTTACATCTGACACTGTTAATGGGACACCCTTTATGGTTATAATTAAGGAAAGATCATCTATATGAAATTACAATGTAATTTAATACTGATGAACTGTCTTTAATAAATTTCCATGGACTTTGGCTTCATATTATTCAGGAAAATAAAATATAATTAATCTATTGGTTGCGGGATTTCTTTTAGCTTATTATATTCTAGTTATAAAAATACAAATTTATCTGATTTTATTAAAATTTTAAAAATAAAATTTGACATTTTGCACACAGTCAAAAATACGTAATGAAAAAATATTCACAAATTCAACTAGAATTTCATTTAAAAATTTTATAGAATTTTTATTGTTTATTAATATAAGTTTTTGTTACTGCTTGTTATGGAAGCCAAAAATCCTATTAATCTTAATTGGAAATGTTTTTAACCCTTTTTAGATTGGCTTCAATCAATAATGGTTGTAAACTTCCAGAACAGCTGATATTGAACTTGAGAATGAATATGTTCTTAAAGAATTTAAAAGGTGCAAGAAAATAAATGAACATACCTGGAGTTTATGCACTGAAGTTAAGCAAAATGAAGAGAATTTTACTATGCAGGCTCCACAACAAGATCAACATCTGAAAGAATTAAGGAACATTACTGTATTACTTAGCTCATTCCAATTTGGGGCCTTTACCTCTCTTGCCTAATAGTCCTCCGATCACAAAGTAACGATTTACTGGGTTAAGCCTGTTTGTATAGAAGAGTGTCACTTAGACTTAGATATTCTCTATCAGGATATTTGAACAAGTATATATTTATTGCCTTTCCAAATATCTAAAAATAATTAACACTAATGATGCCATGTTACTCAATGATAATTGGAAACCTGCCTTCAATAGTAAGGACTTTATTCATTTAGTTAACAAGTTCTAACATTAGATGTGTCATTATATCCTTCTTTCACTTACTTTTTATTTCCATCTTTGCATATTTTAGCCATAATATTTCGTTCATATATTGGTTTTCTATTTCAAAATATGTTTGAACCTTTCAAATTTAAAAACACTTGTTCTTTTTTAAGGAATATAGTTGTTTTATTCAAGTTCTAGAAGTTTACAACTGTTATTAGCTGGCTGAAGCTTAAAGCAGGTCAAAGACTTCCCACTTAAGATTAACAGGATTTGGCTTCCATAATAAGCAGTAAGAGAAACATATATTGACTAATGGTGTCAAGATACAGAGACTGTTTATTAAATTTGTAATAATGGTGAAGGCTATTTTATAATAAAATAAGTCCTGAATAAATATAATGTGATTTCAAAATTTGCATACAAAATTACTTATGAAAATTTTTCCATTTTGTCAAAAGTAGCTTATTAAGAAATGCTTTGTTGCTTGTACTCCAATCTTTAGCTCTAGGTTATGAAGTAGTAGTCCAGCTGGTTCCATGAAGTTTAAAATCTCCACTGGGTACATTACTTCCTGATCTGCTGCAAAAACAGAATCAATGGACTTGTACGTTGTGCAAGTTCCTGGAAGTTGTGCTTAGATATGCAAATTCAGTTCAACACATTTCTTTTTTAGATGCCAACATTGCTCTCTTGTATATGCATTTGTGGTTTATGTAGTGTTATCAAATTAATATCCAGATCTTCAGTGAATTTGCCATCACCGAGATGCAAAAGTTGGTTAGCAAAATTCTCTGAAGATGTCTCCCAATAGATGGAACCTTATATTCATTGAAAGGAACAACTTTTTAGCATCATTCCACAGTGATGATGCCTTTAGGCTTTATATCATTTAGATAAAATTTAATTTTAACTAAATGATGATCTCATAATTAGCAAAGTACATTAAATTAAAATTACAACAGATTTCAAATTAATGGTTAATAATTTTACATATAATTTCACTCTTTATTTATTAATTTTAAGTAACTTTAATATGCTTTATATGATCACATAATAAATAAATCAAATCCTTGCTTGTTTCAGAAAGTCAACATTTTTTTTTTTTTTACTAATGTTTTCTTTTCTCTAATAAAAGAACAATGTAGAATAGATTGAGCTGAAGATGGTCAGATTTTAATTGAAAACTTTTTAATAAAAATTGTTGACTTTCTGAAAAAGTGCTGATTTGATTTGATTTATTTGCAAGATGGTCTAAACACACTCAAAAGCTGGAACTTTTAATTAAAAATACTTCACACTACTTATACTTACTCCATCACATAAAATTTAGTGAATGCACCAATGTTTTCATCCACCTTATGTGCTGGATTAAGTATAAGAAGTGTGAAATGTTTTTATGCAAAGATGATGTCAGGTTTTGTGAATTTTTATTACATAATTTCTTGCATAAGTTTATTTTACTAAACTAATATTGCATTTGCTATATGCATTTGTGTTAAAGAATGAAACACAAAAACCTGGACTAAACTTATAACTTGACTGTTTTATTATTTTGCTATATTGAATGTGGAAACTGTTTTTCTCCCTATTAAAAGTATGACTCACTTAAATTTTTAGCTTTGGCTTAACAAAGTCTTGCATTATCAGATTTTACAGATCATTAAATAAAATGTTCGTTTGTAAAGAATAAAATTTGATTTAGATTTTTCTCAATAATTATTCTCAAATATAATTATTACAAAAGAATTGGATGAAAAAAATGTGCTCATGATACTACACTTTCTCTTTATGAATGTAACCATAAATATAATTTACAAGTTAATATTTATTATTAATGACAGCAATATTGGCTTACTTAATTGAAAATATACTATGGAATTTTATTAAACAATAAAATTCTACAAGTAATTAATATTTAGCTATTATTTAAATTAAATAATTGTTTTGTAGTGTTGATCCATGAACCAGCAGTCCTCATTGAAGGAGTTTTGTTTCGGGCACGATATCTCGGTTCGACGCAACTGGTTTGTGAGGGCCAGCCGACTAAAGCCACTCGTATGATGCAAGCCGAGGAAGCTGTCAGTCGGATAAAGGTAACATACTCTTAGAAATTATTTTAAATTGATTTGCAAAATTGATACTGTAATATACATAAATTATTTTTAACATTTTTGGAGTAAGTATAACTGCAAATACAATTATTGTATAAATATTTTTGTTGTTTTGTACTAAGTTTGAATTAAAATTTTTTAACATAATTATGGTTTTCTTGCATGCTTACCTGCAGTCATTGGTAAGTGCACTTTTAATAAATGTATTCTTTTATGGTTTATTGAGTTATATTTTATATATGTATATTAAATGTGCTGGGTGTGTGAAAAGTTACTGTGTAATGATCAATTTGTAATGACATTAAAGTTACATGTATGGTACAGTATTGCATATGAGACCTGTAATTTGCATGCAATACTCTATGTATAAGTTTAATGTCATTACACATTTTTCTGCACAGATACCTTTATAAATGAATCTTTGTATATACAGTATATATTTATTGGAAGTTGTTAATAAATATGAAAAATGTGTAATATTCTGTGGATTAATAGAGTTTAAATTTTATAATCTATAAAATGTTATAAAATCTAAAAACACTCCATACCAAGCAATGTTACAAAATTAACAAGATAATTGTGTATTAGCATTACAGAAAAGATTTCTGTAATGCTGATAGATAATTGTCTTGTTAATTTTGTATAAAATGTTTTATCATAAGATGGTCATAACCTAGGGTTCACCCATATTTAAAGTATTCAGTTTTTATTTGAAAATGAAACAAACCATAGATACAACTGTCATATATTTCTACCCCTGCCATGATGTGATTTAGATGTCCCCACCAATACAATGTTTTGTCCATTACAAGTGTTGCTGCCTGTCTGGTATTTGCATCGTGTGTCCAGGTGTTTGGGCTTTAAGAAATTTTGGAAAATCATCAATAATTAATTTTTAATAATATAGCTGATTTTATAACTGATTAACAAACAGTTTGATAATTTAATTAACAAGTCATTTATAATAACATCTCCAGAGTAGTGGTCCAGATACTGATCCTTGAAGACATCCTATATTTAGGGAGCAGGTTTTTTTTAACAAAGCCAATTTAAGCTTAGTTGTTCTGTCTTTTAAGAAATCCTTGAGCAAATAGAAAATATTTTGCGGTGCTGTGGTATCTTTGATAATATATGGTGGCCCTCAATTTTTAAACTTATTAAACGTGCCTCTGATATCTAGAAATATTAACAGAGATATCAATCTTTTCTTCTTTCCTTGATGTAGAGTATCACACAATTTAACAAGGGCATTCCTATGGGATATTGGGCATGAAACCATATTGGTCATTGCTCAAAAACTTTCCATGAGATGAAATTTTAAACAAAAACAAAAAATTTGTATGGGAAATGGCAATTCATGATACATCCACTCATGATACAACTACTGTTTGATAGAATGCATTATTCATGTAATCTGGGGTATGCCTATACTTTGTTTAGTTCATTCCAAAATATCTGTTATATTACTGGAAGTGCTTTCTTATAATATATATATATATAACATATTAATTAATATTTTTGGAACCCTATCGTGAATTATATAATTCTGAAACCATTCATGCAAGTTTGATTTAAAAAACTTCTTATTTTGAATTAAATCTATATTTTTTTTCTCATTGATTTATTCATTGTTCCATATGTTTTGTTGATTTATTCTAAAATTATATCAAAAACATTTAAAAAAAGGATTGAATACTAGAATTTAGACTGTTCTATGTTAGGTTTTATTTTACTGAGTAAATTAGTAAATTAATCTTTAAAGTTTCTTTAAAAATTTGCTTATTGTAGTACTATATGAAAAGATTATATTTTTTGCTTGAAGTTTTATATACTTGTATATACAGTATAACCCTGGTAATCTTTCATGAGTCAGGACTGAAGATGTGACGGATTTGCAAATATACAAGGACGGTTTTTTCAACCTCCAATGGTTCATAAAAAAAGATGATGAGTGTAAATAACAATATGAATTTATTACCAAAATTTAGGTACAAACATGGTTACTTTTCAACATAATCACCGTGAAGATTGAGGTATTTGTCGTATCTGTGAATGAGCTTTGCAATCCCCTCTTCATAGAATGTTGTTGTCAGTGACTTGAGATGGGCCTTAATGTTGTTTTGAAAATCATCATTAGTCTCAAACCTCTGCCCTTCTAACCACGTTTTCAGTTCAGGAAAGAGGTGGAAGTTGCTCAGCGCTAAATCGGGGCTATATGCTGGGTTTTTAAAAAGTTCCAAGTTGGGTGGAAGTCATCACACACCTTTAAATACCCAGCGTATAGCTCTGATTTAGCGATGAGCGACTTCCACCTCTTTTCTTATTCATAGAATGTTTCCTGGTGGCAAAAGCTATGAATAAGGGATTGCAAAGCTCGTCCACAGATACGACAAATACCTCAATCTTCACGATGATTATGTTGAAAAGTAACGATGTTTGTACCTAAATTTTGGTAATAAATTCATATTGTTATTTACACTTGTTTTTGTTTTATGGACCATTGGAGATTGAAAAAGAAAACCACCTATGTATTAAGGGATGATTAAGAACACACACTTTGTACAGTTTTGTGTGTGTGTGTGTGTGTGTAAAGTACGAATCATATTACAATATATAAGTTTAACTAAATGAATAAATAAAGAATATTTTTTGGAAAAATCTGTTATTTTTGTCTGTTTCTGCTTACTCTGATCCTTTGTAAAGATACATTGTGTATTTTCCACAACAATAAAAGCTGTTTGGAGAACACTTCAGCTTGCTTTTCATACTAATCAATGAATTTGGATAGAATCTTAATGAGTTGCTGTTGTTAATGATTGCACAATTTCATTTTTTTTTTTTAACCTATAATTTTATTAATCCATTTATCATTAAGCACATGCTCATTGTTATATTGATCAATTTCTAGCCATTTGTATGCATTTTATTCAATGTTTTATAACCAGAAATATTCATAATTAAATTCTCTACTAAAGGTCTCTACACTTTATTCTCTGTGGCAAATTTATTAGGTAATTAATACAGATAAAGAATTAGATAAAAATAACATTTTATAAAGTCAAAACAACTAAAAAAATTTTTTTATAAAGAATAATTTGTCAATATTAAAAGCCTTTTTCATCTTTGAAGGTGATACTTTCTTACAAAATGGGAGTTCTGATAGGAAGTCCTGTTTCGCGCAACTTATGCGAATTAGTCATCCACAAGCGGGAAACCTCCATCATCTCTATGTATCATGATTGCATTGCTATATACTCTTACTCTAGATATATTTATGATATTTTCATTTTATGGCACCATGAGTCCGATTTACAACAATTATTGGATGACGTTAATAATAAACAAACAACAAAAAATATTTAATATAATAAACATTTTCATCCCTTATATTAAATATTTTTGTTGTTTGTTTAACTTGTTTGATTTGCTGTATGTTTTTAGATGTATTTATAATCTGAATCTTAAGAATTAGATAATTTTTATACTGTAAATATACAAGCTGATCCATTTTAATCAAGTCACTGGAATAACTCAAAAAAATATATCCGTACGTTTCTATATTCAACGGTTGACTCAACGGTGAGAAAACGACGTTTCTAAATGGACCGTTGAGTTGTCCGTTGAGATTAGTGACGTCAGCACTGTTTCATCGTTGAGCTCAACGGACTCAACGACCTTAAACGCTGTTGAGTAGACAACGAACTAATATGGCGGCTTCCATGAAGCAAGTAAATTTTTTGTATAAAAATTGTCGATTCACTCTTGCTGTGGACGATGTAATAGCGGACAGANGTAAATAGCAGTACAGTTCTGAAAGTAGCAGAAAAGGCAGGTAATTATAGTCAATGATGATTAAATTTGACAAAATACTAAAAACTTCAGATATAGTGTTATGTTTAAGATATAAATTATTAAATAATCATCTACATAACTCCCAAGTGGTAAATAGCAGTACAGTTCTGAAAGTAGCAGAAAATATAGATAAAAATATTAAGTTTGATGTTTAAGAGAGTGAGAATAATTAAATTTCTTGGATATCACAATCCTAAATGAACCAACCAGATTCACAAACACCACTTTTGAAAAAACTTGTAATATTTGAGTAAAAATCTGTTTTTTTTCTTTTTTAACTACTTGAATTCACTTCCTCCTCCACAAGTACAGTGTAAAAAATAATAAACAGGAAGCAGCCTACGTAAAATTACCTTACATAAAAATATTTTCAAAATGCGCTTAAATAAAATGAGGAAATTTAATGTATGTATAACCTCTACATTATGCAATAAAGTAACATATTCCACAATAAGATTGGTACAAAAACTAAAAAAGAAAAAACAAATTATGCAGGTATTGTTTATAGTTTACAATGCACATGTTTAACCCCCCATATTATTACATAGGGGAGACAGACAGGACCCTAGGTAAGATTAAAAGACGTGATGACACTATAAGTCTTAAACATAAACAATTACCATGGTACCATCACAAAGAACAGACAGGTTGATTTTACATCATAAAAAGGTCATATACAAAAGGAAATTTAAAGAAAACACAACAATCAACAATAGTTTAAGTAAAAGAAATTTGCTAAACATATGTGAAGGGATACAAATCACCAAGAGGTGGTATGACATCATCTCTTAATTGTGGGTAAGTCAAGGAGCAGTAAATCTGTTGGCCACAAAGTTGTTACTCTTTAACATAATATGAAGTTTACTTTTAAAGACTAACAGCCTATTACAACAGCAGAAAGCATTCATAATCTAATGCATTGTATCTGTCCATATGTATCGGTGAAATATGTCCCATATCATGTCTGTGTACTTTTGTTTTTTTTAAGGTGGCAGTTGATTCAATGCAAAGATAAAACTGATAATAAAACATAATAGTAATATGTTTTTAATTAATTTTGTACTTATACCTAGTTCTTAATAATTTTAGTTACTGATGAGTAGCTGTAAAATGTAAGTCAGCCTGAAATGCATTTAGTTGTGTATGTAATCAACCAAAATAAACATAAACTGTAGTTTTGGATCATTGAATTATTGGTAGCGTTCTTATACATCTGCAGATGCAGTATTATGGAATTCTGAAGAATTTTCTAATTGCAATATAGCTGGTATCCCAACAAGAAAGGAAAAGCTTATAACACTGTTTTAAACTTTTTATTATCCTTTGATTCATGGATTCATGGACTGAATCAAAATTGGTGTATTTTTTGGAAAAAATTCTGTTTAAATTTCTATACCATCATGAGTGCAGATGGACTATGCTTAAGTATTGGAGGGTCCTTTACCCTATTTTGCTTAAGAGACTAAAATTTCTAGTTATGCCACTGAAGCTGATAGACACTTTTTAAATTGTTAGAAAATATTATACAGTTGACCCTCCCCATAACACTGTTGATAATTCTGTTTTATATGAATTCCATGTTGTACGAGTCACTTAGATTTTACAAATACGTGTGCCGGGCTGTGAACGGCTCACATATTGACTGTATTATAGGTAGATATATTAAACATTTCTTTTGTTGTAATTAAATTTGACATCAAACAAAAAAAGAAAAAAATCCAAAAGTAATCTAAAAAATATTTATCTTCATATTTATGAGAATTTTTTTAATTATATCTGTTCCATACAAACAATGCCTATCTGGTCTGAGTCCCCTCATGTACTGGCCTTTTAAATTAAACATTGCTTTACTGCACTTAGTTATACCACTAATTATCTTAGTATTGTCTTTTGATGATAATTCCTCAATAACATGTGTCTATTGTCCATTTATACTAAAGCTTCTTTCAGTTATAATTCTGAGATTTTTAACCTAACAGTTGGTTAAAAGCTGCTATGTAATCATTTGCTGATTATTATTCTGTCCATCCAAAGATCACAATATTGTTAAGGAAACAAATGTATATTCTTATTTTTAAAGGCATATGTTTGTTGATTTACTTGTTATCAAGTAGCAGTCAGTGATTCTCACTTGTATTTGCACATGCCATAAGGACTGTCAAGTGCTTGTATGGGGCCCAGGGGTAGAGCAAGAACCTTTTGTCTTAAGAAGGCTCTTTTTCCGATAGTTGTTTTTAACAAATGAAATATGTTATAGAATGTTTCTTAAAATCTTTAAAACTATTTTTTTTTATTGTTAATTTTTCATTAGTAAAAATAACATCAATGGATAGTGGTAGAAACTGCTGTGCCCCTAAGTTTATTCTTGGCCTGGGAAATAATTCCTAGCTCCCCCTCTCAATGACCTGTATATTATCATAGTAATTCTTCCTTTACACACTTTGGGATTTTAGATTTAGGTATGAATTCATGGAAGAATTTTGGAAATTCTTTCAAACTTAAATTTGTAATGTCACAACTGTAGATTTGTTTGTGATTAGGATTTTGTCTTTTTATCATCTCTTGTAATTTACAGGTGTACTTGATTATTATGGCTGTGTTTGCATTTAGTTTCTCTTCTTTAATATGCAGTTGCCAAATTCCATGTACAGTTTGGAATCTGCTGAGCCATTCTGCACTTACTTGAAAGAGTGAGTGACTATTCATTTTGTTGTTCGGCTCTATGGCTTTTGCTTAAATGATTGATCCAGCTAGCAGAATTCTTTGACTTCTTTGCTGATTAAAGTACTGAAATAATATGAGGTCTGCTAAGTTTTTGAATAATTTTAGTGCTTTTGAACAAATGTAACATTACTTTTTTTTCTTTTCTTTTGAGAGATTTTAAATATTTGTATTATACAACTTATTAAAATTACTTATTAAAATTATTATTGCAAAAAAATAAATACATCAAGATAAAAAAATAATAAATAGAGAGTTTCAGTTAAAATAAACAGTTAATGGCAGTTACAAGAGAATCAAGCATACCATCATTGCCTTCAGGTTTTACACTTTTGGAATAGGGACCACATAAAGAGTATCCTCTGCATTGTTAAGATCTCTGTATAGAGAATGTCTTGTACAAATCAAATTGTTTGTTGCTTGCAGTGCCAAAAGGTTGTGGTGATAAGTTTTGTATTAATATTTTTTAAGGAAATATCTTCCACGTGTCCTGAAATGTGTACCGCACCAGATGTGGTTGCATTTGGACTGCCGAACACTTCTGTAGATGCATTAAATAGTGGTGTTTTAATCACGATCACTCAGTATATATTTCTGTATTAAATTCTGTAAAACATATTTTATATGGTACATATTCCTATTTTTTCAACATAACTGTTTGGTAATAAATCAAAACTGCATGTTAAAAATTGTTTCATTTTTTCTAAATATGATTTCTGAAATGAATAAAAAAATGGGAAGAATACATTGCTGACTTTAGATTAGTATTAACTGTTTGATTCTTTGTACAGGCTCCGGAAGGTGAGACTCAGCCTAATACAGAAGTTGATTTATTTATATCAACAGAGAAAATAATGGTTTTAAACACTGATTTAAAGGTATGTAATAAGTAATTGAATAATCACTTAAAAATTCTATTAATGTATGAGATTTGTTATATTTTATATAACAATTCTGAAATTTTTTGTCATTTTTAATTTTTTATAAATATGCAGATAAGAAACAAACATTAATGTTGTGAAAAAATTCAAAATTTTATGACTTTTATTTGAAATTTGCATGCATTTTGATCACGTGCACAGCAACTTTCGATGTAACTTAGCACTAAGTTGTTAAGAGACTGTGATAAAAAAAAAACAAAAAAGTTTTAATGATTTATTTGAAACATTTAATTTATGTTTTTCACTATATGACTATTCTAGCATTCTATAGATTAATAATTTAAATTATATTGCTCATATAATTCCTTATTGCCATTATTATTATGAAGGTAATGTTTTATCAGAGTACGGTAGAGCCATTTCAAATAATTGTTTTTCTTTAGGCATGAACATACTTATTAATTATGTAAATTTTTAATTACTAAAATGATAAAAAGAAATGTTTTTGGATAAGTTATTTTTGAAAATATCTTGGCATAATCTACAAATCTCAAAATTCAAAATTGCTTTATAGAAGTCATACTTTCTAGTTTTTTACCCTGAAAATTAAAGAAGAAATTGCATCAAATATTCTGACATTCAATAGCATGAATTTCCTATATCCTTGAAGAATCATTATGCTAATGGAGAAATTCTTTAAGTTTCAAAAATATTAATTTTTTTCATTTTCAACTACTTCATTGAGATGATCTCTAGATACGAAGAGTATTTTTTAAAATAAGGTCTATTTTTTAATAAGAAGAAAAATAATGTAAATATCATTAAAATATATTTTTTCCTATATTCTACATACTTTTATCTACTTTTCTACATAAGTCCATTTTTGTTCAAACATTTGTCATACCGCTGAACAATTTTTTTTAATTCCAACTTCAAAGAAATCTGCCGGAAGACAGTAGGCCACGCCACTTATTTTGTATGGCACGCTGGAGTTTTCTCAAGGTCACACAATATGCATCTGAATTGATTGTTGTGCCTCTCGGCATAAAATCCACTAACAAAATCCCTTTTCTGTCCCAAAAGACAGTTGCCATGATCTTTTGTGCTGAAATCGAATAACAGATTGTATCTCACAGTTGATGGGTGACTGAATTTTCTTAAACATTATAAACTTCTAAAGCTCAGCACACACAGACAATACAGCTGTAAATGGCGTCTAATTGTGCACAAAGCATGCTGGGAGCGGACACTCATGCACACTGCTGCGATCATGCATCATTTTCACTCACAAACAGACCTTATTTAAAAAATAGCCCTCGTATTTATGGTTTGTGCGTGGGAAAAGCTTTTAGATGTATTTTTGACTTTGTTTTCATTCAAGAAAGCTGTTGGTTCATATCACCTCTCGTAATTCAGGTCATGGATGCCTGCAAAACAATTTCCACAGGGGCAAAGTTTGGAGACAAATAATTACATGAATAAATTTTTATTTAATTTTTTAGTTTTTCTTTCCAACATTAGATTAGAATTCTGTATTGAATTAATAGAAAATGACAGACAAACATCCTAAGATCAAGAGTGTAAGGGTACATATCTCAATCACTTTTACAATTATAATTTGTGGAATATTGATCCCTGAGGGGAATTCTCCATTTGCCCCCTGCAGACATCCATGATTCTGGATATGCTTTCACTTGGAATTCAATGAATGTGGGAAATATTCATATAGTAAGAATAAACTTTAATATTAAAGAGTATTAAGAACAGTGAAAGATTTTAAATAAAAATATTTTGACTTCTGTATAGTAAACTTGTATTTTTAGATTTCTAGATTAATATCTAGAAATCACCAATGAGCATATATTTGAATGATAATCACAAAGCTGATAATTCATGATAATATAAATCACTGTCTTAATGATTCTTACTGTTTTTCGAAATATTTTATTTTATTTATTTTTTGATGAAATACATTTTGAATTTTTTTTTTATCTACTGAAAAACAAGATTTGACTTTAACTAGGAGTTATGATACTCTTTAAAAATATAAAGTATATAATATAAAAAATAACTAAGATAAATTAATTAAATATAAATCAAAGTCTTGTCTTATATTAATATGGCAATTAACATAATCTTTATTAATAACTTTTGAATGTTTTTATTATAAATTTTGAATTAAATTTTATAAAGATTGGCAGAATATATAAAATTCTATGTATTCATTCTAGTTATAAAAACAAATCTTACATATTCCAAACAACAACCACTAAGTACTATTTATAAATTCAAATGCTATGTTCTCAATTACTGAAAACCAGCAAAATAATTTAAAAATACAGGAAATGTTTACTTCCTTCTTAAATGGACACACCATCAGGCTATGTGAGTCTGTTTATCTAACTCGCTCAGTTCCAAGATCAAACAATATAGCCCAATGACATCTGTTTAAGATGGAAGAAAGAGTTCGCTGGATTTTTGTGAGTTATTTTGCTGGATTTTTGGTTATTGAGAATATTGTACTTATATATTCCTGTAAACTTTTTATGTAATTATACTCTGACAATTTAATGCATTAAATTCTTTTTTAAATTGTTAAGATATTTTTTACAAGGTAAATGCTCTCATGTACTACTGTTTGTTTGCTCTTGATATTATTTCTTTTAGGATTGTGTTTTGTTTCATATAAATTGTATATTTATTTAATATTTTTAAATTTCATTATTGCAGAAATTATAAATAAATTTAAATACAACTTTTTGATAGTTCAAAAATAACATTCTCTTGTTGGAATGTGGATCCATAGTTATGATATATGTTAATTTAAATTTTATAAATGTATTTCACACCATTACATATACAAAATACAAATAAAGACAATTATTAAAATGTTTTGTAAAGATACGATGTTTTTTTAAACCAAATATTTTAACTTCACAATAATTGTTTTATTTAGTTTCATGTATTGTATGCTTGATAAAATGTATATCATTTGTTAATTACAATCATTTGTCACAAACAGTCTGTTTTAAATGGATGAGTGAAGGAGAATTTTATTTTCATTAAAAAATAAAGCCTTTAAGTTTGTTAGTTTTACAGTTTATAATTACTAATTACTTATATTTAACTTAGTTTTGTTCATTATATTCTAAATCTACAGCTTTAAAAAGACGATGTCTTGAGTATATTACAAAGTTCTACATATTTTAATGATACAAAATATTTTTAGATAATAATTTTAAAATTAATTAGTCAAGATAAAATTTGTTTAAACCATTGAGAAGCATCATCTATATACATAAATATATAAAAACATCACCATGCTATATTGTTATACTTATAAATATGTAAACATGTTACGCTCATACTTGAAATAAGAAATTGAACAGATGCCATATTTAATGATATCAGTGATGGAATTCAAATAATTTAGTATAGTAGTAACCATTTTAAGTGCAAAAAAAATATATTTATAAGTTCTTATGTGCAGGATCTTTATAGTATTTTTTTTACACCAAAGCATCCTACATGCTGAAAAATATATAAAATAAAAAACGTTATTTTTACTGTTACTATTAAAACAAATATTGAAAATGGCTAAACCTCGTGATGTCTACTAGCTGCACATATCTGAGTCGATGTTAGAACATATCAACATTATTCAACAATTGGTTTGAAGTATTTTCTTATGTAACAAAAAGGGTTATAAAAATACTTCATAAAAAAACTTTAAATATATTTGATAAAAAGGCAACAATAAAAGTGTGAAGTAAGATAATTCCATATGCCTTTTGATTTGTATCTTCTTTTGTTTTGCTTTTATCTGAGGATCATCAGCTGTGTGATTAATCCTTACCACCTCCTGACCCAGAACTGTTTAGCAAATAAAAATCTATATCTTAATATTGATGATGTGAAAAACCATTATGAAATCATATTTATTGTCTTGCATTTTTTGAATCCAGAAATGCAGACATTTGTATCTAGAACTTATCACTCACACTCACGAATTGAGCAGAAAACATTGGTTGCTTCATTACAATAGGTGGTCACGCAGCAGTGATGAGTTCTCATGCACTCTTATTGCTCTATTGCGTAATTCTTTCTCTTCTCTTCCAGTCCAGTCCAGTCTGCATTCAGCTGTTAAAAAGTTGGCAACCTTACTCAAATGCAGACTTTTGTGATTAATTGCATAATAAATATTACAAGTGCAATTTTAATAACCAGTATTTGCCAAACTAAAAGTATCTTAGGAAGTGGTTCTGATGAATCAGTGCCAACCAGTTGAATTCCATTACAATTTTTAAATAGATTATTAAAATTAACTTTAACTACAGCAAAATTATTAAATTGTTATTTTTTTCATACTATTCCATTTATTTTATTTATGATTTGCTGTATTTATCATTGCTGTTAGGTTAATTATATTAATAAAGAAAAATCTTTTGAACTTTCTCAAACATTAAAATCCCTAAAGATCTGATGAATTTTGTACAATGATACAGATACAATAATTTTGCAGATATTGGGTATTTATATTTATTAGTATAGCATTTTATTGGAACATTGTAAAACATTTTTGATAAGATTTTATTTTTCTTTTGAGATGAAAAATTCTAAGAATTTAATATTCCAATATGGACATAAAATAAGGAAGAAAAAAAAATGTATTTCATCGAATTACTTGCATTCCAAAATAATAATTTATCTAAAATTTAAATAAATATTTTCGTATTTCTGAATGAATAATTCTAGAACATATATAACAAGTTTTAAATTATTTCTCAAATAATACTTTCTTATTCTATAGAGAAACGTGTGCTTTTCTTAAGTCTATTACTTTAAGCAAACTAAACATTTTCATTTAAAATAATAGACTTAATTTAAAATATAAATTTTCATTAAAAAATAATTACTTTCTTCAGTAACCATTGTATATCTCTTAATTAATGTTCTGTTGCATTTTGGAAATTATTTTTCTGTAATTTGCAAAGAAAGAAAAAAATCCAAAAGTATTTAGAATAATTAAAAATTTATTTCTTTATTCTCTTCACTACAATGTAAATAACAGCAAGCAGAGGACATAATTTCATCAAACTGAAATTACAAATACACACACTTCGATTACAGAGACGGACATCAACAAAATTTCTTTATTGAAGATTTCGCAAATGTACTTTTTGTCATAAAGTTTTCTCGAATCTGCAGGTGCATGTTTGGAGTTTTGCAGTACAAGATAAAGCAAATCTCAATTCAAATTTTGAGATGATTTATTTTATACTGTGAAGAGACTCCGAAGACAAATCTGCAGTTCAAAATATTTTAAGCAAAAATTATTTTTGTGAAAAACCTTTCTTGAAGCGAGTTTGTTGATACGTAATTACAGTTGCGTCTTGCAGGAATCATTTTTACCATTAATTGGAAAAGTCTCCCCTTTTTATTAAGTGTGCTTAACAGAAAAATACTGTAAAAAAATGCAAATGTATGGAATAACATATGTAAGTTGCTTTGGTCAAATGTGTCATTTATTTAAAATTTTATTAGTGAAAGATTCAAAAAGTTAAAAATAAGGCGACATTTTAACCAGAATTAGAATAATGCATCATTTGGGTTAATATTATACATATATTATTCCATTAAAGAATTTTATAACTGTCGTATTTTTTTCTATAACAACAATGTTTACAAGTAAACATTTTCTTTATATAATTTAGTGCCAATCTTCCAAGGAAGATGAGTACACAGTTGAAAGACCTCAAGAGGTAATAAAGATCTTATGTTAATTGCCATATTACGTGTGTAAATTGCTTTGTTGTAGCATCTATAATGGCAGATTTGGAAAATTTCTCTGCTATTTTCAGTAAAGATTTCCCATGAAAAGATTTTCTAATAGTTACATTTACAAACATAAGTCACTGCTTTGGTGTTGTCGTTATGGCAGACATTATGCTATTAGTCTGAGATAAAGGCAATGTAGATTGTTTAAATGTTTTTATGAGAATAAACTGTGATTAGAAATGATAATGGAATTGTAGTCATTATAAATTTTTAATTATAATTATACAGAACATTTGTACATTTATATATTGTTTATAATGTAATTTCTGATTTGAATTTTATTATAAAATAATAGTAATGTATTATTTTTCTAAATCTAGGAAATTATGATGGATCATTCTTTGCGTACTATTTCATACATAGCCGACATCGGCGATCTCGTAGTTCTTATGGCAAGACGTAGAATATTAAATAACCCAGAAGAACTGGGAGATTCAAAGTTGAAACGCATGCCAAAAATGATCTGTCATGTATTTGAATCAGATGAGGTATGAGAAAAAGTTAAATTCTTCATATAAAAAAAATACATTTATATATAATTAATGATAGTATTAATTTTTATGAAAATTTTTAAACCTGTGATTTTCTTTTTTGCTTGTTATTACTAAACATTAAAATAATGTTTTCATCTTCAGGAGTGAGTCTACTCTATTTTTAGTTAAATATAATTTCCAAATGATGAACGTTAATTAAAATATTGAGCAGTTTGGACCAGATGTAGGAATTAAGCTGCCATCTTGTGTTAAATTTAATAATTTGGCATAAATTAAAATAGAACATTCTACATATGATTTAGAATATTGGAAGAAAATATTGGTCTAGAGTGGGACTCAAACCTACATTTGTTCTAAGCAGATCAAATGTAGGTTTGAGTCCCATCAAATTCTCTCTGCTTGTATCAGAGAAGCAATCAAAGATTGCTTCTCTGATACAAGCAGAGAGAAGACAGAGATCCAGGTAGCATATTATTATTATACAAATGGGGCCAAGAAACCAAATATACTTCAACCTAAAAGGTTCTTTATACACACCATGATAGATTATTTCAGAAGTCTAATCTCTTTCAGAAAAAAAAAGCCAGCAGACTTATGGAATAAAGCTGAGGGATGTCACCAGGATTAAAAAAAAAAACAGATGAACAAATCCGCCTGAGCAATGATCTGCACATTCACAAATAAAATTCAAAGGAGTTGCCCCAGTGGATCTGCAAAATGCTGAAGAGTTAGTTGGCACAAATGGTTGTGACTGGTTTTTGGTCACTTTCATATCATCAACCAAAAAGCAAATATGAGTCTTGTTGAAAGCCAAGAAATTCTTAGTTCACCCAAAGTGCAGGCTAGGCAAAACTGTCTTACTCTGCTTTAAACCAGGAGTTAATCTTCACTGTATTGAATAATTAGAGTTAAATCAGTCTTTTAATACTTTTTCTAGAGCAGTTAAAGAAATACTAAGAGCTGGAGCTCCCTGTTTAGCCGGTAGTTCAGCACTTACGTTTGTAGCATTGTCTTTTGTCCTGACACANTGCCAGCTCGGCACTTAAGGAATTTTGACACTTATAGGACAGCTTTGTACACTTTTTGACTATTTGGAATTTTTGGAAAGTGATTTTGCATTTTGAGGTGACTGGAACTTTTGCTTGAAATCAGGACAGAGTCACAAATCAATTGGACATCTGAAAATGGAAGACCACTACTGCAGTAGTGGAACATGAAATGGAAATTTCTCAGGGCAGTTAGTAGTGCACACCAGTGGCAAAGTGTCGCTTTTCACAATTGGTGAAGATACAGAGGTCCAACAAAGGAAGAACAGAAGGAATTTCCCCATTTTGTATAACATGGGGAAAAATTCATTAGAGGTATTAGTAGATAGCCTAGTATGTATAAAACAATTCTACAGTTACTCATTCATTTTATCCAGTACATCTTTCTTTAGAAGAATTTAACAAATATCTCTGAATTAAAAATGACTTAAAATGTTAGTCCCAGGAAAAGTGTAAGACAGTGAATGATCTGTTTGCTCATGAGGAATTTTGGATATACCAATAGCATAATAAAGTAGAAAAAGTATGCTGCAGTTTTTCATGGCATCATATTGGGTGGATCTAAGACCTACTTAATCCTAGTCTTAGATTAAAGTTTCCCAATCCATGTGCTGCAACACACGTGTCATGGAAATATTCAAAATTCTAAAAAAATATTTAATAAAATTAAATTTTAAAAAAGAGCTTATCTTTCTCTTTTTATTGCTGGCCAACTGAAGTGAAAAGGAGGTGTTCACTAAAATACCAATTATTGCATACTCCCTTACAAAACTTTCGTACATTGGCATACCAACTCTTTGGCACTCGTGTAACTGTTGCAGCTTGCCAACTTAAAGACTAATAAGGATATACTATTCAAAAACCTTTGATAATAAATTTGGCTGCAGTTTATAAGGTTTTTGAATAGTATAGCCTTGTTACGATATGCAGTCTATGAAGAGATTAAAGATTAATATTAGCTCTTTATACATTGATAGTCTATTTTTATAGTATATTTGTAAAATTGTGTTAGTTAAACTTACCAAGACAAATAATGTATTATCAAAATATTTTAAAATCAACTGTATTTTATTTTAAAAATTATATGTTTTGAATTTAATAAGATGCCTGAGACATGTCACTAGTTCAAAAAGATAGCGCTCTACAGCAGTGTTTTCCATCTTCAGCCTACATAAACAGGTACAGAAGACCCAATAGAACCTCAATAGACCTGGGGTAATAGACATGGCCCTATTAATGGCAAAGCTTTCTGCATGCTGCAAACTTCAGAACTCTATCTGACACCTTTACGAAGCATCCTAGGCCACCAAAGTTAGGCAACATAGGCTATTTTGGATAGAATCCTATAGTAAAAATCCAAAAGAGGACACGTGGTTGTAGACCACAGGATTTGCCAAGAATAAGTGCCTCTATATAATCAGAATATGCTCAGACTTATCAAACACCATCTATAGGTGCTGAATCCATAACAGACTATAATCAAGTAATACCCCAAAAGTACTGATGATATGTCTGCACATAAAGCAGGAGTTGAGGATCAAGTTTCACTCTGGACTGATTTTTTATTATAGAATAATTTATGTCTAAACATAAAATTGCTTAATATCTCATTAAATAAATTAACTCTATGTAATCCAATAAGAATCTACCTGTATTATTTGATTATTTTTTGACTGTAATTGCTAAATGATTTGTAACTTTAATTAAGCTATATTATCTCATTATTAAGGAGAAGAATTAATTATAGAAACATTTTATTTCTAAAATTTTAAATGAAGTATTGGTGCTTTAATTTGCATAATGAAGTTGGTATGTAGGCATTTTCAAACTTAAATGTTACTTATTTTAATCTATTACTACAGATATTGCAGGCCTGTTTCAGTTTTTGTTTTAAAATGTATTCAGTTTAAAAATATTCTGTAATAAGTTAATGAATTTGTCATAAATTTCATATCTTTTATTTTTTAGGCTCAGTTTATTGCTCAGTCAATAGGACAAGCATTTCAAGTTGCTTACATGGAATTCCTTAAAGCAAATGGCATCGAAGATAGTAGTTTTGTAAAAGAAATGGATTACCAAGAAGTATTAAATTCTCAAGAAATATTTGGAAATGAATTAGAAATGTTTTCAAAAAAAGAAAAACAAAAAGAGGTATTATTCAATTAATTTTATTTTTGAGTTATTGGCAAAACATCTAAATATTGTTTAAGCTTATTTAAAAACTAAATTAGTTTGCCATCCCCTTATATAGTGTAAAAAATAATTCTGATGGAGACTTTCCATGCCTTATCTGTGCTGATTTAATCCATTGTAATCCTGTTTGTTTCTGATGGACAAAATTGGGACTAGTCATAGTTTATAGTGTGTTAATACCTTGTAACATCTCCATTTCAATTATTCTGATAGATTAGAAGTTATCAACACCAAATGTCAATGATAAATAAATACAGTTGATTCCTATTTGTTTGAATTTGTATTTAGTTGATTCCTATTTGTACAAATAGGAATCAAATAAATATTGTGTGTGTGTGTGTGTGTAGGATGATGATAATTAAAGAGCAAGTGTTTAGAGCTTTCTTCTGTAGAAAGAACTAGTGAACAAATCAACTGAATTTCATACATGCATTGTCCTAAGCAAGCAGTGTTGATATTTCTGAAAAAATTTTACTTTAGCATTCTATTACTGGGGTGAAATTTGGCATTGCTGTTCTCTTAGTATCCTTATTATGTATGTTTTCTAATGAACTTCAGGTAGAAAAGGAGTCACAACACATTCTTCACAATTCTTTGACATGTAAACAGTCATGGGGCTCACTTGCCTAAGTGTACTGTACATTACTTGTTAAACTCTTCTATCAATGAAACAGTAATGCCAGCTCGGCACTTAAGGAATTTTGACACTTATAGGACAGCTTTGTACACTTTTTGACTATTTGGAATTTTTGGAAAGTGATTTTGCATTTTGAGGTGACTGGAACTTTTGCTTGAAATCAGGACAGAGTCACAAATCAATTGGACATCTGAAAATGGAAGACCACTACTGCAGTAGTGGAACATGAAATGGAAATTTCTCAGGGCAGTTAGTAGTGCACACCAGTGGCAAAGTGTCGCTTTTCACAATTGGTGAAGATACAGAGGTCCAACAAAGGAAGAACAGAAGGAATTTCCCCATTTTGTATAACATGGGGAAAAATTCATTAGAGGTATTAGTAGATAGCCTAGTATGTATAAAACAATTCTACAGTTACTCATTCATTTTATCCAGTACATCTTTCTTTAGAAGAATTTAACAAATATCTCTGAATTAAAAATGACTTAAAATGTTAGTCCCAGGAAAAGTGTAAGACAGTGAATGATCTGTTTGCTCATGAGGAATTTTGGATTATANATTAATGTTCTGTTGCATTTTGGAAATTATTTTTCTGTAATTTGCAAAGAAAGAAAAAAATCCAAAAGTATTTAGAATAATTAAAAATTTATTTCTTTATTCTCTTCACTACAATGTAAATAACAGCAAGCAGAGGACATAATTTCATCAAACTGAAATTACAAATACACACACTTCGATTACAGAGACGGACATCAACAAAATTTCTTTATTGAAGATTTCGCAAATGTACTTTTTGTCATAAAGTTTTCTCGAATCTGCAGGTGCATGTTTGGAGTTTTGCAGTACAAGATAAAGCAAATCTCAATTCAAATTTTGAGATGATTTATTTTATACTGTGAAGAGACTCCGAAGACAAATCTGCAGTTCAAAATATTTTAAGCAAAAATTATTTTTGTGAAAAACCTTTCTTGAAGCGAGTTTGTTGATACGTAATTACAGTTGCGTCTTGCAGGAATCATTTTTACCATTAATTGGAAAAGTCTCCCCTTTTTATTAAGTGTGCTTAACAGAAAAATACTGTAAAAAAATGCAAATGTATGGAATAACATATGTAAGTTGCTTTGGTCAAATGTGTCATTTATTTAAAATTTTATTAGTGAAAGATTCAAAAAGTTAAAAATAAGGCGACATTTTAACCAGAATTAGAATAATGCATCATTTGGGTTAATATTATACATATATTATTCCATTAAAGAATTTTATAACTGTCGTATTTTTTTCTATAACAACAATGTTTACAAGTAAACATTTTCTTTATATAATTTAGTGCCAATCTTCCAAGGAAGATGAGTACACAGTTGAAAGACCTCAAGAGGTAATAAAGATCTTATGTTAATTGCCATATTACGTGTGTAAATTGCTTTGTTGTAGCATCTATAATGGCAGATTTGGAAAATTTCTCTGCTATTTTCAGTAAAGATTTCCCATGAAAAGATTTTCTAATAGTTACATTTACAAACATAAGTCACTGCTTTGGTGTTGTCGTTATGGCAGACATTATGCTATTAGTCTGAGATAAAGGCAATGTAGATTGTTTAAATGTTTTTATGAGAATAAACTGTGATTAGAAATGATAATGGAATTGTAGTCATTATAAATTTTTAATTATAATTATACAGAACATTTGTACATTTATATATTGTTTATAATGTAATTTCTGATTTGAATTTTATTATAAAATAATAGTAATGTATTATTTTTCTAAATCTAGGAAATTATGATGGATCATTCTTTGCGTACTATTTCATACATAGCCGACATCGGCGATCTCGTAGTTCTTATGGCAAGACGTAGAATATTAAATAACCCAGAAGAACTGGGAGATTCAAAGTTGAAACGCATGCCAAAAATGATCTGTCATGTATTTGAATCAGATGAGGTATGAGAAAAAGTTAAATTCTTCATATAAAAAAAATACATTTATATATAATTAATGATAGTATTAATTTTTATGAAAATTTTTAAACCTGTGATTTTCTTTTTTGCTTGTTATTACTAAACATTAAAATAATGTTTTCATCTTCAGGAGTGAGTCTACTCTATTTTTAGTTAAATATAATTTCCAAATGATGAACGTTAATTAAAATATTGAGCAGTTTGGACCAGATGTAGGAATTAAGCTGCCATCTTGTGTTAAATTTAATAATTTGGCATAAATTAAAATAGAACATTCTACATATGATTTAGAATATTGGAAGAAAATATTGGTCTAGAGTGGGACTCAAACCTACATTTGTTCTAAGCAGATCAAATGTAGGTTTGAGTCCCATCAAATTCTCTCTGCTTGTATCAGAGAAGCAATCAAAGATTGCTTCTCTGATACAAGCAGAGAGAAGACAGAGATCCAGGTAGCATATTATTATTATACAAATGGGGCCAAGAAACCAAATATACTTCAACCTAAAAGGTTCTTTATACACACCATGATAGATTATTTCAGAAGTCTAATCTCTTTCAGAAAAAAAAAGCCAGCAGACTTCTGGAATAAAGCTGAGGGATGTCACCAGGATTAAAAAAAAAAAACAGATGAACAAATCCGCCTGAGCAATGATCTGCACATTCACAAATAAAATTCAAAGGAGTTGCCCCAGTGGATCTGCAAAATGCTGAAGAGTTAGTTGGCACAAATGGTTGTGACTGGTTTTTGGTCACTTTCATATCATCAACCAAAAAGCAAATATGAGTCTTGTTGAAAGCCAAGAAATTCTTAGTTCACCCAAAGTGCAGGCTAGGCAAAACTGTCTTACTCTGCTTTAAACCAGGAGTTAATCTTCACTGTATTGAATAATTAGAGTTAAATCAGTCTTTTAATACTTTTTCTAGAGCAGTTAAAGAAATACTAAGAGCTGGAGCTCCCTGTTTAGCCGGTAGTTCAGCACTTACGTTTGTAGCATTGTCTTTTGTCCTGACACATATGAGAAGAAAATTCTATTAAAGGTAGCCAACTCATTAACATGAAAATAGCACTCCCAAACAAATGCTGAAATAATCTGAGAAAGATTGAGGTGTCTTTAAGGCAGCCTGACTGTCAGAAACAATGTAGATAGTCCTTTTAATTAATAAGTCTATTATTTAAAATAGTATCGACACACCAAGTAATAACTAGCAACTCTGTTTGAAACCACAATAGGGAACTTACCCAGTGGAACAAGGCATCCTTGTCTGACCATCCCCCCCCAACTATCATTTGTGCTGCCACCAGTTTTGAATCTGTCTGAAAACTAATCTATATCCTGTGGACAAAAGGTCACTCTACCCATATTCTAGTCAAGGTGAGTGGGAAAGGAGACCAGATAAAGCCTGTTAAACATAGGCAACTAAGGCAACATTTTGTCAGAACCTATTAGAAAAATGGCTTTAGAGGAATGTGATAAAGGAAGACAAATGTCCAACAGTACTTGTTCTAGAAATGAATTGACCAGTACACTTGAACCTATAGACCAGTGTTTCCCAATCCATGTGCTGCAACACACGTGTCATGGAAATATTCAAAATTCTAAAAAAATATTTAATAAAATTAAATTTTAAAAAAGAGCAAAAACAAAAAAACGTAAAATGATAATTATAATGCAGATGTCGCTTTCATCCGCAATGGCCAATTCGCGAAGAACGAAGTGGGGAAGGCTTCGATAATCAAAAGTTATGAGCGATTTTGACGTTTTTATCGACCATTCACACTTTTCATTTAAGGTTATTTCGGTAAGTGATCTTATAGACTATTTTTTACGACATAATTTATTATTTTTTATACCGATTTCGTCCGGTTTTTGCCGTTCGAAAATGCGATGTTAGGGGTAAAAGTTTGATGTCGTTTGGTTCGTTTGGTCTTTTGTTCGTCTGTTTTTTTTCTCGTTTTCTCGTTTATTTACTAAAATCCAGCTTATAATTGGCGGTAAAATCGATTTTTTTAACGTTTTACGCTGAAATTTCTCCCTAATTAATGCATTTATCGAGTTTTAATTAAAAAAAATGCCGAGCATCCCATCTACCGATGTCTATGATTACGTCGCTTCTTACGTCACGTTGACGTTTGTTTGTTTGTTGTGATCCAGTAAATGACCCGATGCCGCTTATTGGGCTTCCTTTATTGCCAATATTGATTTGCTTTTGTGTAATTGCTTCGTCTCTTGAATAATTCATGGTGTGAAGGGTTGAATCTGTCAACTCGTCGCGGATTCCAATACTAATACAAGGTTCTGTTGTTGTGGTGATGTTGAAATTTTGATACGGAGTCAACTTTGTCATTGACACCGACTTCTGT